TCTCTATAATAGTATCGTATTGACACTTATGCATAGGGACTTTGGGAGATGATATGTTATATTGGATTCCTGCATCATTTGTAGTTTGTAAAATTCATCTTTGTATTATGCATTATCCGTTACTAAGATATTGAAATCTTGAGTTTAATGTTTCTATTAATTTATTTTTTTATAAATTCTTAAAGGATCCTACAAGTTAATCCCTATTTATGAATATACAAACATATGACTTGGATAAAATCAAATAAAATCAAAAGTCTCTATTTATACTTAACATGTAAGCACCAACATAGAAGAAAATAAATAATATATATATATATATATATATATATAAATATATATTTATGAAGAATAAAATAAAATTTTGTATTACTTATTCATATCCTACAGATCTACGATCTGCACCATCAAACCAAAAAAAAAAGGGGCATATCTCTCCAGCGTAGCCGCGTATTGACCAACTGGATGTATATAAATATATATGCATATGATAGAGTGTGTCTGTGTATATATACCCCATATAAACTCTCATGTCTCCCAACACGTTTCCATGTGTCGACCGCCACGCCATATCCTTATCCGCTCCTCTTTAATTATTGACCACACCTCCATCCGTGATCGTCGCCGGTCACGTCTTCGTCGTCGAGAGGCTCTACACGACCCTCATCACGTGATACACGCTTTCCTCGAGGAAGCCACGGACGACGGGGTGGGCGGTTCACCTCCACTCCACCCCGACATCAGAGCCATGGCAATCCGCTATAAGTAGCCTCTCTCCCTCTTCCCCAACATCATCTTCTGCAGAAGAAAGGGAGGAGTTTGGTTTACACAACACGATGGTGAGAGGCTCTCTATACACACATAGTTTTCTGTCTGTGGAATAGTTTGGTTACCTCCGTGCGTTGTGTGTTGACGTCGATGGTGATGCAGAACGGAGCGATCAAGGTGGGAGCATGGGGAGGGAACGGAGGGTCGGCCTTCGACATGGGACCTGCTTATCGTATCATCAGCGTCAAGGTTTTTTCCGGAGACGTGGTCGACGGCGTGGACGTCACCTTCACCTCCTACGGGAAGACGGAGACCCGACACTTCGGTGGCAGCGGTGGTACTCCCCACGAGGTTTGCATCACTACCAATCTCAAAGCTCATAGCTGACTGCAGATTAATGGCTTCTACTTGGATGCAGATTGTTCTGCAGGAGGGCGAGTATCTGGTGGGAATGACGGGAGAATTTGCTAACTACCATGGAGTGGTGGTGGTGGGGAAGCTTGGCTTCAGCACCAACAAGAAATCCTACGGACCTTTCGGCAACACGGGAGGGACTCCCTTCTCCCTTCCTATAGCAGCAGGCAAGATCTCTGGCTTCTTCGGCCGTGGCGGCAAGTTTCTTGACGCCATTGGTGTCTACTTGGAGCCATAATTGGACACTGCAGTAAATCACAAGAGTTGCTATGTGCAACTTTGAGTGATGAGATGAAGAATGTCTGCAATAAATGGATTGGTGTTTGCCATCCCCAGCTGTTGTTGGATGTTGCTTGGAATAATAATGATATGGTGCGTTATTATCAGAGCAATTGCATCACTGATTGGTTTGAGACTTCAGCCTTTTGGATCGCATAGACAAATAAACGAAAATAAATTAATTTGATGTAGATGGTGATTGGAGCAATATTTTTAGGGTAATGTTTTTGTGTTGGTTCCGAGGTTGACTTGATATGAGCACTCATGCATAAGGATTTTTTAGCGTAATTGACTAGCCTTAAATCTTTTATCTAAAATTAAATTTTATATTTTATATTATCTATCAAATATTTATCATAATATTTATTTATGAGATCTCGATTTTAATATTTCTATTAATTCGTTTTCTCTTTTATATATCCTTAAGGGATGTGATGAGATTATGGGAAGAGTAACCTCTTTCGAGATTATGGGAAAAGTAATTTTTTTCGAATGAACATACAAGCGTGTGATACAATTATATAATATGTCTTTGATCGTAAACAATAACGGATCCTTGGCTATAAAAAGGTTATCCATTTGAACAAATAATTATTTAATCCTTACGTTAAAAAAAAGAGTTTGGATCGTTCACCGTAAGTTCTTCGTTACATCAAAAGGACTATTAGGATCCCATTATCAAATCAGCACTCGTTTCACAAAGTACAGTTTGTGGGCTACGATCCAAATGTCGCACAAGCAGATGAACATAAAGATATTGGGACTTCGTGTTTCGAGGTGGGTCCAACATGCAATAACTCATTATTGATTTCATGATAGCAAGTTATGGTTCATATCAAAGGAGGAAATGGACATGCTATCACTTTCATCTAGAATGGAGGAATCACAACAGGAAATGCCAAGTCATGAAAAATATAGTAGAAAATATTGTCTTTGGAGTCAATTGGAGAGTCAGTAAGACTGATGCAAGATTCGAGTCTGAATAGCACTCCTCGGAGTGTCCCTTCCAAAAGAAGATTATTTCTATTATAGAATGAAAATATTGTGGAACTCAGTTGTTCATCAAATTTGTGCTCATCATCCTTTTTAAATTTGATGTTAAATAGATTAAAACAAGAGAATTAATCATCAATAAAGTTGGAGACAGTGACATTAAATGTAAATTCCAAATGCATGATTTTATGTGTGCATTGGTCGTCTTCCTTTTGGGATGCCCTAATCGTGAGGGAAGAGATAAAGGAGAGGGTGTGAGCTATCGATGAATTCATGAGAGTCTTTGCACATATCACAACCATGGAAGGTGGTGGAACGCGTCCCATTCAACTTTGGAGTAATGTGAGGTGGTGATGCTGCCCACAATGGAAAATTGCGGTGCATGTTACGACTAGTCAACAATGTGGAAAAGAATTAATCTTGCCAAGACGTACACATCATTCTAATTTTGCTTTGGTCATCACAACCTCATCTTACATTAGTTCATAGTGATTCCAATCCTATGACAACCCTACCAACATAATAGCTTGATAAAATCCTAAATAGTTGAATCATATTTAAAGTCTAATTTAATATATCAAGAAATCATATATCATAAAATCTAAGTTTAGAATCTTAAATAAATTATCAATGATTAGTCGAAAGAAGGTGAGGATGACATCAAATAATCATGCCCTTATGCAATAGGCGATGTTAGATTATACTATCCTATTTAATATAAGATATAATATAGATCTGATTAAATTTTGGATGATTATCGGTCAATAGAAAGAATATTCAATTATGGTAAGACTCTTTATAAGATGATCTTAATGAAAAGATTATCCTAATTACTTATCATAAACCCTTTGTTAGGATATGACCTCACATGGACTCAAAGCGAATACATTAATATATGATAGTTTTGAAAGATTATAGATCTTCTCTTATTTTTCGTTAGTTATATGAATCAAAGATTTTACTTTCTTTCTTTTCTATATAGATTTACGGTGCATGTAGATCACAATACGTTGCTTTGCGATATCCGAGGTACTTTTTTGATATTATCTCAAATATATGATATTTAATTTTAATGCTAATATTATATTTTTATATAATAATATTATTTTTTACAGACGGCACATGTGCTACGATGATAGAGATAAAGGGCCGCGATCTCGTGAGGGTGAATTGACTCTAAAAATCCAGCTTTAGTTCGAATTATAAATCACAACTTGCCCATGTGAAATCAAAATCACTAATATTGATTAGTTTGCATGTCGTGGTTAACTCTGTGACCATAACAAACATAAACCTAAGCTCATTCATCTTCTAGTAGCAACAAATGATTCTTGTATTCAAATGACAGCTAACTGGCTTTACCATATCTTATGGTTTGGTCATGGTCTCGAGCTTAGTGTTTATAATAAGAGGAATAGGTTATTGATCTTATGACATCGTATCATGCACGACATTTGAATGATACGTGTATTAAAACATCAACCAATAGTTTTGCTCTCTAGAAGCATAGAATACGACACATTATTAGTCTTCCTAATCTATAGTTGGACTTCAATAACTATACATAGAGTTGACTATTCCAAAGCAATATCACAGTGTCGCTACCTTCCAAGATTCGAGCTAAGAAGGTCCATAGTTGGGACCTTTAACACCTCCATTATATGCTGAGCCCCACAAGAGGTCCTCCATTTCAACACTGTTCTTGTCATGACAGGTTCCATGACAATCCTGGTTGACCTGCCTACTGATGGGCACTGATTCGATCATTCAACTTCCTCAGGTCAGATTTAGAATCCAATTGCGTTACATGGTTCAAAGTTTTTCTAGAGGAAAATGACATGTTGTGTATATCTTCAAAGAATCCAATCCAACTTCAGCATTTTCAACCAGCTGCTTTCCCATTGTTGGTTGAGCTTTTGACAGCAGCATTCAAATCCAAGAAAATGTTCTTCGAAATTAGATTGAAACAATGTTCCATGGAATACAAAATGACAAGCCATCCACCACATTTCTTTTCTTTGTTACACATTGTCATCTCAGGCACTTCTTGTACTCAACACTATGACCATTAAAGGCTTGTCGCATGCCACTAAAAGCTACCACTTGTCTTTTTTGTTTGGGAAGCACAGCACCAATAGAAACCTTGTTCACTTCACCAAATGCTATTATAATATGTTGCTTGCACATGAGATTGGAATGAAGAACAGACCAAAAGCATTTGTTCTAATTGTCCAAGTAATGTTCTTTTCCAAGTAAAAAATGACCAGTAAAAGTGTCCAAATCAGAGAAATAATGACCTTAATCACATTACTAATCCTTCAAGCAATATTCTCTTCATAAGGGCTGTCAACTCTTCTCTCTCTCGAGGGAGACATCCACATTGCTTCATAGAGGAGGTGTTCATTGATACAAGAAAACTCATGTGGTGTTCCTTTGCCGATGTTTAAAGGAAACTTAGACCTTCTTTTCAACACATATATAGAATGTATTTTGAGATGACAAGTAGCAGCAGTGAGCTCCAAACACAAGCCATTCTACTTCAGATTTCCAGCACGGGTTTCTCTATCCATCACTACCACGCGTGTTGTTTATCTTCTTGCCACCTTTACATGCGGTATACTGTTCTCACCAAAGTTATGTCACCGGTCTCTTTCTTCCTCCACTGTGTCAATGAACACCTTTTAGACTTCAACAGCTTCAGCTCACACCCTCTATTTTATATAAGCCACACTACTTCTCTTAGCTCTCATCACGACACGCAAGTTGAGGGACATCAGAAGGTGAAGCATGGTTTTTGCCAGTGGTAGCTGCAGCGGCGTCGCGGCCTCGGCCGATGGCATCAAGCTGGACCCATGCAGGTTTGCCATGCAAGTGGTGCGCGGCCGGTGGTTCATGTTCTTCTCTTCCTTCCTCATCATGGCCGCCGCCGGTGCCACCTACATCTTCAGCATCTACTCCAAGGACATCAAGTCGTCGCTGGGCTACGACCAGTCCACCCTCAACACCCTCTCCTTCTTCAAGGACCTCGGCGCCAACGTCGGCATCCTCTCCGGCCTCATCAACGAGGTGACCCCGCCCTGGGTGGTGCTCTCCATGGGCGCTGCCATGAACCTCTTTGGCTACCTCATGATCTACCTCGCCATCACCGGCCGCACCGCCCCGCCGCACGTCTCGCTGATGTGCGTCTACATCTGCATCGGCGCCAACTCGCAGACCTTCGCCAACACCGGCGCCCTCGTCACCTGCGTCAAGAACTTCCCAGAGAGCCGCGGCATCGTGCTCGGCCTCCTCAAGGGCTTCGTCGGCCTCAGCGGCGCCATCATAACCCAGCTTTACTTGGCCATCTACGAAGACGACTCCAAGTCCCTCGTCCTGCTCATCGCGTGGCTGCCGGCCGCCGTCTCCATCGTGTTCGTGTACACCATTCGGATAATGAAGGTGGTGCCGCACGGCAAGACGACTAAGCCCTTCTACTGGTTCCTCTATATCTCCATCGCTCTCGCGGTCTACCTCTTGGTCATGATCGTCGTCGAGAAGACTGCCACCATAACTCACACTGAGTCAAGCATCAGCGCCACCGTAGTCGTCCTCCTCCTCCTCCTCCCCCTTGCAGTTGTCATCAACGAAGAGCTCAAAATCTTCAAGCAAAAGAAGCATGAACTGCAAAACCCACAGCCGCTCGTCATCGCCGTCGAAAAGACATCGCAACCCCCTCCGCCGCCGATAACAGAGTCCAAACATGCTCCTCCTACCACAGCCACCACCACCACCACCACCACCACCACCAAAAGTAACAACGCGGTAGTTGCATTCGTGGCCGACATGTTCAGGCCGCCCGACAGGGGCGAGGACTACTCCATCCTCCAAGCGCTGGTGAGCATCGACATGATCATCCTCTTCTTCGCAACCATCTGCGGCGTTGGCGGCACGCTGACGGCGATCGACAACATGGGCCAGATCGGCGAGTCGCTGGGCTACCCCAAACGGAGCATCAGCACATTCGTTTCGCTCATCAGCATCTGGAACTACGCGGGCAGAGTGACGGCCGGCTTCGCCTCCGAGATCTTCCTGACCAAGTACAAGTTCCCTCGCCCGCTCATGCTCACCGCGATCCTCCTGTTATCCTGCGTCGGCCACCTCCTCATCGCCTTCGGTTTAACGAACTCCTTGTACTTCGCCTCGGTGGTCATCGGATTCTGCTTCGGCGCTCAGTGGCCGCTGCTCTTCGCGATCATATCAGAGATCTTCGGCCTAAAATACTACTCCACCCTCTACAACTTCGGCGGCGCCGCCAGCCCCATCGGGTCCTACATACTGAACGTGAGGGTGGCGGGGTATTTGTATGACAAGGAGGCACTCAAGCAGAACAACGGGGTTAGACGACCCCCCGGCACCGACTTGACTTGCATCGGCGTCGAGTGCTTCAAGCTTTCATTCATCATCATCACGGCGGTGACGGTGCTTGGAGCGCTTGTATCCCTTCTACTGGTCTATAGGACCAAGGACTTCTACAAGGGCGACATATATGCCAAGTTTAGGGAGCAGATGGCGGTAGCTGACGATGACATGGCCATGGAAACCTTTGTGTCAGAGGGTAAACATGCAGAAGAAGATCTGAAGGAGAAGAAGAAAGCTACTACTACTACTACTACTACTGAGGAGGAGGAGATGGGCGTGGTAATTAATGGTGATGGTAAACAAAAGCTTGAGAAAGATTTCACGTAAACTATATATCTTCTACAGGACTTAATGCTTACTGATTTAATGCCTGTACACAAACTTCATGTAATGGGCGACATGAATCTATTTACTGAATGAGACTAACAGTTCTCAGGAGTCATCATCCTTTGCCTCTATTCTCAAGACTTACAGAGAGTCTGACGCTATCTTAATGTGTGAGACTTGATGGAGGAGAAGATTCCACAGGTCTATTCTCAAGACTTGATGGAGGAGGAGATGTTGGTAATTTAACACAATAAATATGGATCAAACATATTTTATATTATAGACCTACATCTGAATTTAGAAATATTATTAATAGTATTCACATAATTAATTTTTATAATAATTATATCTTTTAGTTAAATAAATTTGTTTTAATTAGATGATTTTAATCTTGATTAATCAAAATAATAATTTAACATATTTAATTATACACCCAAAAATTCGAACAGGAGAGGTCACTCTTAAAAGTTGGGATTGAGTGTGAGGCTCTGCTACTCCATTTCCATTCTTCTCTGTCCTTTCTGATGATTGAGTTTGGACGTGTCGGCATGCAGAAAGTTCTGCATGGAGAGTATCGGTGTCTGACGTAGATCTGTCTTGCAGTGGTTACATCGGATTAAAGATGAACTCTGTTGCTGAGAAGACCACTAATCACTTCAAGAGCTGTAAGTGATAACTTCTATGATGAAAAGAAAGAAAGAGAAGAATTCATCCATTGTTGTTCTTATAGCTTTTTATCAGTAAAAGAGTTAATCAAATATAGCTTTTTATAAAGTAATCAAAAGATTTTCTCATATTAGATTCAATTTTAGTACCCGTAAGATCCTATATAAGATTCTCAATACATCTTCGTACGCAATATATGGCCCATCAAAATCCCAATTTGGGCCGGACTAGGTTGATGGAAGATGAGTTCTTGGTCCAAAGTACCAAATTAATATATGTATATATATATATATATGAATTTGAAGATATATTTATATATTGTTAATAGAAGAAAAAAAATAGTTAATAGTAATTAATTTAATCCGAATTAAAAGGGTTAACGGACGCAATCCCCACATGTTGTGGGAGTGCTCGGTTGAGCCTCGTAACGGGCTTTCCGGGGCAGCGGGCGAGGGTTATGGGGTAACATCTGGCGGTGAGTGTACCGAGGACCAGGCGAAGGTGACGTGGTGGGTCCCGCATCTCTCTCTCTCTCTCCCTCGCATCACCAAATCTTTTCTACGCAACCGAGGGAGAGAGCGAGAGGCCCCCCTCCGCACCCCACCCACGGGAACCCACTTTCCCACCCCCATGCAAACTCTCTTCTCCTTCTCCTCCGCCTCGGCCTCCGTCGTTGCCTTCCTCTCCTCTTAAATCCCTAACCTTACGTATCAATCCGATTCCTATATACATATATTTATATTTATCGAGAGAGAGTGAGGGTTCTCCTATGGCGGTCGCTGAGACGACGGCTACGGCTACGGCGACGGTGGCGTCGGCATCGGCGCAGCCGAGCCCGATGGCGCTCTACGTCGGGGACCTCGCGGACGACGTAGCGGAGGGACAACTCGTCGGCCTGTTTTCGGCCGTCGGAGAACTCGCCTCCGTCAGGATCTGCAAGGACTCCGTCACCGGCCGCTCCCTCGGCTACGGCTACGTCAACTACATCTCGCCCCACGATGGTATCGCATCCCCTCCGCTTCGGTTATTGTTCCCGATCGGCGTTTGCTTTTATTTGGCAGTTTTTTACGATTGTTTCGTTCCTCGTTTGGATTTCTCATCCGAATTTCCGACGGCTTTGTTTGGTTTAGGGTTCATTTCGAAAGAATCGGCTGTATGGCTCTGCAAATCTTTTCATGCGTTTTGCGTTGTTTGATTCGTGTTGGAATTTAGGGTTGGCTTGTTCGTTGGGTTTCTTGTTAGTTTCCGTAATGTAGCATCTTTCAAGATGAATCAGGAATATTCACATGTTTAGAACAATTATTTCTTGTCATGTTATATATTGGGTGATTACCTATGGTTACTTTTGTCTTGCATCTGTAAAATTTCTTCTATTTTATCTGTCAGTTGAAGGAAAATTTACCATGTTCGAGATATCAAGTGTATCTGATGATATTTCTTACTGTATTTATCGGGTTATTCTTGCTATTCTTCTGCCACTTTCCTTTTATATCCATTCCAGTTCATAGGGCCCCTAATCTTGGTGACCACCTGATTTCTTGAGCTCAATTAATTGGTTATGCATGCTATGTGAGCCTTCTACAATGTTTCCTGTCAGTTTCCTTCTTCTTTATGTTGATTGCCTCCTATTTTGTTCCTATCACATTACCTTTCTGTGGTGGTGGGGTTTGTTTTCGATCATCATTTAGAGGTTGTGCCAAAATTTATCCATCTCTAATGGGATGGTACTGCTATATTCACTGTATTTGATTTTGTTGTCTGTTCGGGCAGCAATGGTTGCTTTGGAGAAGTTGAACCATACTCCGCTGAACGGGAAACCAATCCGTGTAATGTGGTCGGTTCGACATCGAGAGGCAAGAAACACTGTGATTGGCAATCTGTTTGTGAAGGTAGAGCTAAAAGAAAGCTGATTTGACTTGTACAATAATCTTTATGTTTTCATGATTACCCTGTTTCCTTTTTAGTGTTTTGGAATGTGATTTGGGCTTTTCTCATCGTTTCCAGAACCTTAGCAACTCTGTTGACAATGGGAAGCTCTATGAGATGTTTTCAAAATTCGGAACCATTTTATCTTGTAAAGTTGCTACAGATGAGGGTGGGAAGAGCAAGGGGTTTGGGTTCGTTCAATTCGATTCCCAAGAATCAGCAAATTCTGCAATTGAAAATCTCCATGACTCCTTTTTCGATGGAAAAACAATGTAAGAAGCAATGTTCCAACTGAGATCTTACTAGAGCAAGCATGTGCTCCTCTATCTCTCACTATTATCACTAGATGCACAGTCTCCACAAATTTGTTGTTTGCAAAAGCAAATGAATCTTATATTACACTTAAGCAACACTTAAATTGATGGCCTTTGTGCTTGTTTCTCCACACACTAGTCTTTGTTGCGTATGATTCACTTTTATACGAGATTGAAGAATGGATTTATGAAATGATCCAATTTATTAGTGAGTTGGATCTTCATTGAGATGTTTTGATAAGGTCAATATTTGGCAAATATTTTTGTTTGGATACCATGATAATGGCAGCAAGCTGTAAATTTTTTTGGCAATTTGAGGTAGGCAACATTAGTATTTTCATCCTATGGATGTCAATTACCTAACACAACCCCTTTTTCCTTTTCTGTTGTTCGTAAAGAAAGATCGAATAATAAGCATGAGACAAAGGCTTTATGAGGCGATCCAATTTATTAAAGAGTTTGGATCTCCATTGAAATGTTTTAATATTTTCATTTTGTCAAAATTTGTCACACACTTACATTTAGATACTATAGAAACAGGAAAGCTATAAAATCTTAACTATTTGGAGTTGGCTACATGGATATTCTGTCGGTTATCTAGTGCAAAAAATTTTCTTTCTTTGATCTGATATAAGCATTTATAAGCTGAGTTTCATAAGTTTATTAGATGATATTTTGCTTTGTATTTGTCTCATGCTTTATACTTTGTCATGAAATCGGTTGTTTTGGTTTTAGAGATAAGTTCTATATGTTTCATATGAGAAATATTGATGCACTTGGTTCCTTTTTCACGTGTAGAGGTTGGGTTAGTGTTAGAGAGAATCTTTTCATATGAGAAGTTGATGCTTGAATTTTCTTTTCATGGTTCACATTACTAGTCACTTCCTTTATGATTGTCTTTGTGCTCTGTAGATATGTTGCCAATTTCATCAGAAAGAGTGAACGTGTATCAATCAGCCCTGAAGCTAACTTTACTAATTTATACATGAAGAACCTGGATCAGGACATAACAGAGGAACTCATAAAGCTGAAGTTTTCTGAGTTTGGTAAAATATTAAGTGTTTACATTGCAAAGGATGATTATGGAAACTCAAAGGGGTTTGGCTTTGTAAACTTTGAAAGCTCTGATTGTGCGAAAAGGGCAATGGAAGCAATGAATGGGGTTCAACTTGGTGCGTGTGGTGCCTTACCATTGTTACATATAAATATCAGATCACTGACCTACTATTCTTTCTTTGATCTGTGTTGAGTAGGAACCAATACCTTGTATGTGGCAAGGGCCCAGAAGAAGGCAGAAAGAATGCAAGTTTTGCGGCGTTTATACGAAGAAAAGCGGAATGAGCAAATTAGAAAATACATGGTAGTATATGTTGTGCTTACTTTACACTATTTTTTTCTCTTTCTCAAAATCTTTTATAGGATTAAGGGAAATTGATGTTATTGTCAGGCCTCGAATGTCTATGTTAAAAACATTGATGATGCTGTTGACAATAATGCGTTGCGGGAGCGTTTTAGTGAGTTTGGTAATATCACTTCTGCAAAGGTTATGCTTGACGAGAAAGGAAGAAGCAAAGGGTTTGGCTTTGTATGCTATAGCACTCCTGAGGAAGCTACCAAAGCTGTTAATAGTCTGCGTGGTAATTCAATATTTTTCTGTGGGTTTATTTCTACCCTCTTTGTGTTTCTAGAGTGATGGAACATTTCTTGGTTTCATTCAGGAAGCATGTTCTATGGAAAGCCTTTGTATGTTGCAATTGCTCAAAGGAAGGAGGAAAGACAAGCTCAATTGCAGATGATGTATGCTCAGCGCATGGCAGGATCTCCAGCTGCTGTCTTGCCTACTGGTTATGGCCCTCTTTACTATGCTTCTTCTGGGGTTGTCTCACAAGTTCCTCCAAGGCAGGGTGTTATGTATCAACCCTTTGGGATCAGACCTGGATGGAGGCCAAATGGATTTGTTGCTCCATCAAGACCAATTTTCCAATCAATGCCACTTCCTGCAGTGAGTCATGATCAATATTTTAGTTTTTTCATATCTGATGCTTGAAATATGTCAGTGTCAGGTTCTTTTTTATTATGATTACTGATTGTGGTATAATTTCAGATGTCAAATACTTCAAGGCAACATAGACAAAACAGGGGTCGTATGAACGGAAATGTGCTGCCTCAATCTGGACAGACCAATATATACATGCCTCATCTTCAGCAAGCAAACCATTCTGTGAATACCGCAAAAGATTTGATAGGTCAGCAGGTAATGTCCTCTTATATTAGAGTTAATCTTACTGTGTCTTTAATTTTTTCAATAGTTGGAATTTTCTATTGCCTTTTCTTTTTGTTAATTCATTTTTGGTTTTGGATTACTATATTGTCATATGTGATTTGTGACTTTCTGAGACCTCATTGCATCATATTAATTGTTAAAATTGTATTCTGTATATTGTTATTATGGTTTTTAAGATATCTTGGCACTGTTACCTTTTATGGAAGAGATCAATCTAATGACTGCAACAGTTACTTATTTTTTTACCAATAGTTAATTTGGGCATCTGCATTAAGGTTCAGTTCATAAGTTGTGTGTATATGTTTTCAGTGCATGATGTACTTTTTTTAATTGCACCACTATGATTTTTTCCTTCCACCCGAATTGAAGCGTTGTAATGCATACAATCGCAATCTTGTTTTTCATCATTTTAATGACCCATAGCTACAGGAAATTTATATGATATGATCCGACTGTTGACATCAAGACTGGTGTAGGTCTAAGACATACCAGCATATCGTGTGTACATATGTACTGGTACATATCGAATTTGGAAATACCTAAGAAAAAGCTAGAAATAAAAAAGCATTGCCCAGTGCGACCTATGTACTGGGCAGGTGAAGCCCATATCAGGAGGTAGACCTTATACCTGGCTCGAACAATTCAGATTACCTGGTCCATATGCCACTGGACTGTCAAGACCGGTAAGTGCCACCTATAACAAATTGTACCAGGCAGTACTGGAATATTTGGTTTTCACTTCAGAAGGCGATACTATCATATTTTGGTAATTGAAAATCTTTTATGATTTGCGAAATTGAATAGTTTTAAAGACAGTTTTATAGCAATCTTAGTACCTTCAACAAGGTGCTATCTGAGATTTGATTGTCAAGTAATAATCATTGGTTAAAGTCTGTATTTTTGTTCATTATATTAGGTTATTTTTGGGTAAGTAACCAGAGTAGATAGTTGAAAGGAACAAAAGAAGCGACAAAAAACATCCCAACTAATCATGCGAGTAGAAGTTTGTAGATGCCCACATCTAGATCTGAAAATTGTATTCATAAGTTGATATGGGATCCACTGAGTTTCTGGATGCCCAGAAAAGAACAGCTGATGGAGGAGGTTTTGAAGGTGTGGTAGTGATATTTGGTATAGGTATAACCAATCATTGGGCCAACTTCAAAAATGCTGCAATTCGATGGAGAGACTAGTGGCTTCCTGTTGTGAGCAGCTTGTATGACATAGTAGTTGATAAAGGACAATGGGTGAAGATTGTTTAGAATGAATAGCACTGTCTTGCTTCCTCTATAACCATCACTTGATATTGATACATTCTTGGATGAAAATTCATAGGAGCTTTTGGTGCAAGTAAAATCTAAGTTGAAGTCTTTGTGTCATCAAAATATTCACACTCTGACACGCTAGTGTTATTGCTGGCACGGTGACTAAGAACTGCATCCTGTCATGAAGATTTTAGAATTTCAGATAAGAGATTATTGACCTTATTGCTACTTCATATGCTACCCTCAAGAAGTTTATAAGACAGTTTATACTTTATAGTTATCATTCCTTCTGAGATTTTAAGGCAGCATTGATGGGCTGCGATCACTAGATGGGGTACCGACCATGGTACATGTGCAGACGATGAGTTTCACTCTTGTTTCTGAAATCCTTGTTTTTAACCTTTTTTTCGTTGTTTCTACTACTGCATAACAAGTGGCATGGCTTCATATGGTAGCGTTTTTTTGTTTTGTCCGTCTTTATGCTTGTATATTTTTCATTTCTTATTTCATCCAATAAGTGATCAAGTATTTTTTGCCTCATTTACTAACTCGTATTGGTATGTGCCATGGCAGCGATCTGGGCAGGCCAAGTATGTACCAAATGGACACCAGCATGAAATTAATAATGCATCGTTAACTTCATCTGGTTCTAACTCACAAGGGACGGAGATGCTCAGCAGCATGCTTGCCGCTGCAACTCCGCAGCAACAAAAGCAGATTCTCGGAGAACGTCTCTTCCCCTTGGTGGAGAAACTTAAGGTGACATTTTCTCTGATGGATAATTATGTCTTCAGCTGCGTTTGAATGGATAGATCTATCTTCAGCAATGATATTGACTTCATCATCCGTTCTCTGTAGTTTGATCTTGCTGCTAAAATTACTGGGATGCTACTGGAGATGGACAATTCTGAACTATTGCTGCTGTTGGAGTCACCAGAATCATTGGCTGCCAAAGTTGAAGAAGCAGTTCAAGTCCTTAAACTCTCCAATGCAACAGTAGGTGGTCAAGAGAACATCCACTCCAACTACTTGACGAGCAATGTCACTGTCAATTGAAGGGGGTGCCAGTTCTGACATACTATTCTTTTACTTAGACTATCATTCTCGGCATGCAAGAGCAAGTTTCCATTTTGCTAGCTCCATTGTTGGTTTCCTAGGACATCCGATGTAGTTTAGTTTATCTAGGTTGTCTCTATCACAACTTATCTATAGCACTGAGGTTTTCTTTTTTATCGTTTTTGCTCTTCCATATGACTGGCAATAGAACCTGTAGATGTGGCCATGTCATTGAATAAAGGATTAGACTTAGTTGATGAAATATTCTTAGGATTCTTTTTTTCTTTTCGATGGTGATAAATCTATGTTTACCTGGAATCTACTCTCTAAATTCTTTGATGTGGCACTTCGTTTTAGTGCGAATGATGTGGCACTCGATTAGTTTGATGTTGCAGTGGAGGTGCCACTCCGCAGTTTCCATGCATAGCTGCTAATCATTAGCAGCTAATATTCTGAAGTTGCATTTACTAGAATTGTCTTACAGCTTCTTGATGTTAGGTTGTCATCCTGTTGTCTCATCTTATTTTTTTGCTACTGAGTTACCTTTCGGACCAACAATTTTCCATATTTAATAATCTTAGTTCATGATTTTTGTGTTTTTTTTAGCATGATTATTATCTCACCTTATTTTCAACTAAACTACGAGCAACCATTGTGCATTTTACACGTCCAGTGACTCTGCTTTGCAACTCGGTGCTTTTGCTTCTGTCTGCGACCACTACTTGCAGGCATTTCCAATTCCAAGCAAGCAACCACTCATCCAAGATTTATGTGCGGATATTAAAGTACCAATGCTGAACAGCCTCCTTATATTATAGTTCATATGTTTTGGATCAGTGAGGTTTTGTTGTGAGAAAAAGATTTTGAACAAATGTTGCATAATGATCACATCATGCACAACATTATCCGCCAGACGGGTTATATGTGTTCGTGTCATGAATGCTATTGGTCCTTTGTGGTGAAACGTAACGAGCGCATGTGATAGTTTGGTGCGTCTCTCATTAATCACACCACCAATCGCACTGTGGTTTCATCAAAAGAATCGAATTGGACCCACTGGTGGGGCCACCTCTGCCTCCAACGAAAAGTCAGGTATCCAGAAAAGACGAAAGTAAAAGAATCGGAGACACCCATAAAATTGTCACCGCTTGCATGGCTGCGGACACGAGGAGATCACGCGGACGTCAATCTGCATGACTGTGGATCCGTGGAGATCACGTGGGACTCGAACGGGACAAAAAGGCGCAGGACTCGTCCCGAACTCGCTCGCCGCGTGTCCGACTCGCCGCGGCTCACCCCAACCCAACCCACGCCACTTGGCTCGGTTCCCCCGTATGACGCCCTTCCTGTCACTGTCGCTTCCCGCTTAATGGCACAGATGACCGACACTGTATGCTCCTTTTCCTACACACGGTGGATCATGCACCACCATCGCCATGAATTCATCTTCTCCTCCTCCTCCTCCTCGTCTTCCATGCTTCCATGGATATGGGAGAAGGTGGTTGGTGCTGCTGGGCGTACTGGTCCCTATGGTTCTGGTTTCCTTGGTCCTGTTTGCCGTCGAGTCCAAGAGCTCCGCCTTCTGGTTCTCTTCCTATTCCCTTTCCTCTCCACCTGTTTACGGTGGTGATATGAGTGGAGAAGAGGTTTTGGAGCATCATAGAGGTGTCGGAGCACAGTCTCACTTCAATCACTCTGGTCATGCTTCTCATGCGTCTCCTCCTCCCGCGGCGGCACCAAGCCCAGCGGCGGAATCTGTAAGTCCTCTTCCTCTCCTCCTCCTCCTCCCTTCTTCCTTCTTGTCGACATACATAGTTTGAAACCAGGTGTGATAACTCCATGTGATTCTGAGTTAATCATCCTCTTCTTCCTTCTTCTTGACATGTATATAGTTGGAAACCAGATGTTAACAAAATATAATTAACTCCAAGTAATTCTGAGGTAATCTCATACTTGATGGGAGTCAAGAAATAGGTTCCGGTGGACAAAGGAAGGGAGAAGGAGGGTGGCAATCTAAGGTGGTGCCACCTTGACACGCATGGAGTTCAATGCATGCACCACCTCACCTTGTATCGAAGAAACACGACAACATTGCTGAAATCAGTATCTTTTTTCTTCTAATACTATTATCAACTGTACTATTCTCACAATGGCATAGTTTGGAATGCATATTCTGCAAAGGATCCATCAGCGTCGTCCATCATATCACAACTTTTAGTCTCAACTGTTCGTCCTGCCTCGATCAGATCAACTTTTACATCCCAAACAGATTTGTTCTTCTTCCCTCAAGAATCTTCTAACAATCTCGAACTTAATCTTTGCAAAAGTTACTGTAGGGTTTTGCAAGTTCGAGGACAGAGTCGAGTCTCCAAATGTCAGAGTTGAGGAATCGGTGGAGATCTATCCAATCGATCATTTGGGCACACATCGATACTACCGTTTTCACGCTTTTTGTTTAGCTATGAACTAATCGACCAAATCTAATTCCATTTTTGTTGTGCGATAGGCACCGCTACTCGTTCGAAACAATGGCACGGTCGAGGCGATACCATCGCCGCGAAGAGCGAGAAGAAGAGACACAAAATTGGAGAGACTTGAAGTTGGCCTGATGAGAGCTCGAGCTGCTATCAAGGAAGCATTTCGAAACCACAGTAACGTATCGCCATTGTTCGACAAAGATTACGTTCCGCAAGGCCCCTCATATAGGGATGCTTACGCTTTTCATAGGTACATAATCGACGACGTGAAATCTTGGATCATTAGTTTGGTTGCTTAAAGTGTTTTGGGGAAACAATTCCAAAGTGCAGGAGTTATTTGGAAATGGAGAAGCTGTTCAAGGTCTATGTGTATGAAGAAGGTGAACCACCACTCTTCCACGATGGCCCCTGCAGGAGCATATACTCTTCCGAGGGAAGGTTCATCCATGGCATCGACATGGACACCTGGTTTCGCACCAGGGATCCTGATCTGGCTCATGTCTTCTTCCTCCCATTCAGTGTTGTGAAGATGGTCAAGTTGATCTACAAGCCCAAATCCTTCGACATATCCCCTATAACGAGGACCATTGCTGACTACATCAGTGTCATTGCTGAAAGATACCCATACTGGAACAGGAGCCTTGGTGCGGACCATTTCATGCTTTCCTGCCATGATTGGGTAACACAAACACTCCTCTCTCATCTGTTTGTTATTGTTCATAGGATCATGTCTGAAGTTGCTGAACTCGTTTAGCAAAGGTAGGCATGCAGCATGGAGTTGAGAGAGTTGTAGTGGTATCGATAGCAGTAATGCTCGTGAAAGGGAGAATCTACTGCACATATAGAGGCATACATGTGTCAAGTTGTTCTTCTGCTGCTTCCTAATGCTTGCTTAACATCATCTGCAGTTTACATGGAACCAAAAAGCAGGCATAAATCAGTAGAGAATAATTCTTTGTGCTGCTGTAGATATTGATCTGATACTGTTATATGTATGCTTTGGTTGTGCAGGGGCCTCATGCCTCCGAAGCTCACTCTCATCTCTACGGCGACTCCATCCGCGTGCTGTGCAACGCCAACACATCCGAGGGCTTCGACCCTCGCAAGGACGTGTCACTCCCGGAGATCAACCTCAAGACGGACGTCATGGCCGACATGATGGGTGGGCCGTCCGCCTCGCGCCGCCCCGTTCTCGCCTTTTTCGCGGGCGGCGACCACGGCCCCGTCAGGCCGCTGCTGCTGCAGGCGTGGAAGGGCCGCGACCCGTCCGTGCAAGTCCACGAGTACCTCCCCAGGGGCGTCTCCTACTACGCCATGATGCGGCGGAGCCGCTTCTGTCTCTGCCCCAGCGGGTACGAGGTGGCGAGCCCCAGGGTGGTGGAGGCCATCTACCTCGGCTGCGTGCCGGTGACCATCAGCCACCGCTACGTGCTGCCCTTCAGCGACGTCCTCAACTGGAAGGCCTTCTTGATAGAAGATAAGATTTTCCTAACTATATGAGGAAATTTCTCTATTCTGTTGAGGAAAATCTTCTATTCTGTTAGGGAAATCCTTCCTCCTAATTCCTATAAATAGGAGAGGGAACATGTTAATAGATTCAAGCTAAAGTTTCTCTATTTCAATAAAGCTTCTTATATTA